ATTGGGTTCTGCGGAAGTGAACTGCATCTGCGGGCATGAAGTAATGGTTTGAAGCAGACGAGTACTCCACCTAGGGCTAATATCAAGGCGCAATTCGCGAGTTCGGCTAAGTCCGACAGAGTGGATTCTATGAAGAAGAAATAATCCACTGTATCCTGCTGGGAATTGGTGACCTTAAAAGACACCTCAACACCACCGCTTTGAAGAACCACGGCGAAGTTCTTGGGTCTGTACAAAGAGACTTGTTGAAACTGTCAGAAAAGCGTACTCATGAAGGTGCGATTTTTCGCTGCATTCGTGAATGAGCGTCATGGGCACACGTACTCACAAACCCACATCCAGTTATTCGTAGCCATGCCTTGCGACGTCTGCATGTATGGACATTCCAACTTGAGTAGGCATTACGACGAAGTACGGCTGCTGTGTCATCCATCTTCGCTTCATTCTTACTCACAAGTTGCATTCTGCAACCTCTCCATCTTCCTCATGTTGTTTCGAGTTGCTTCAATCTTCCGTGCCCTTATAAGCTATAGTATCTCAAATACCGATCGACTGATACAGGCTTCCAAGCCATCAAGACAAAGAACACCTACCAACTTGTACCACAACCTCGTCCTTCACCTCTGCATTCCCGCAGCCAGATCAGTATTGCATCACAGCATGCAACTATTAGTTGGTTCCTACGAGGCCAATATCACGTCTATGGTTAGGGACTTGATAATGAGGAACTTAGTCAGCTTACTCCGTGATACCCATGGACTTCTCCATCTTCATGGCCAGCAGCGCCACCCCAAACGGTCCCCATGCTAGGTGGTGGCGTGGTCATATTCGCTGCGAAGTTGTTCAGCTCTCGTCTTCGCAAATGACCATATGCAGGTGACGAGGGAACATACACCCTCTCTCATTGTCCACAGCTACGCCACACGCCACACCCAGTAACTCAGCAACCAGGTACTCGAGCACAGCAGCCAGGCAGACCGGTGCTATATCACTTACGCAGTGCGCGCAGTTGCCGCGAAGTAGCATACGGTGCACGCGATCCACGTAGAAACTAAAACCTGCCAGCTCCGCCCTTGTAGTTGCTTTCACACTAGAGGAGTGCGTTCTAACATCCATTCATCTTCCTCTGTCACAGCAGCAAAATTGTGAGCAGATTGAAGTGAATACCTTAATCCATAAACCACCTCTATTTAGGCACACTTCGTCGCTTGTGTATTGACTGAGAAGTAACCTAACCCTTGTGCGCAATATCACCAACATTGGTTCGCCTCCTGCTTCTGATCATGTGTGCAGTTACGCCGTACAATCGACTTCTTTTCCTCAAATCGATTCGCATTCCTCCTTATTGCACGTCTCCACCTAAATTATCCAATTAGAAGAAGAAGACTTCTTCCTACCACTCTACAGTCTACCATTCTGCAAGTGATGTCGTGACAGGTGGAATACACTTGCCTCCCTCATCGCCAGATACTGCCGCCA